AGTAGAAGTCTCCCTCTGTCACCTAGGTTGGAGTGCAGTGGCATGCTCACAGCCACTACAGCCTTTCCTGCTGGATTCAGGCGATCCTTCCACCTCAGCCTTCCAAGTAGCTGGAACCACAGGCATGTGCCACCACGCCTGGCTAATTTTTTGATTTATTGTAGAGATGAGATCTCGCCAAGTTGCCTAGGCTGGTCTCGAACCTGTGGACCCGAGTAATCCTCTCACCTCGGCCTCCCAGATTGCTGGGATTATAGGCGTGAGCCACTGAGCCCAGCCGATTTCTTCTTTTTTTGCCTCTACTCTGCATTGCACAAACTTCTAGTATGATACCCAGAACATTTTTGGGCAGCCATATGTCTGCATACCTGCCTCTTTCTCCTGGTTTAGAGGGTGTTTGAGGGTACAGACCAGGTTTTCTCCTTCTTTTGTATTTTTTATACCTATTATGTTGCTTGTACCAGGCACAAAATAAATGCAAATATTTTGTCCACATTTTATGCATTTATAAAATGGAGGTTCAGCAGCAAATATACACATTTTATACCCAGGGTAACAGAACTAGCTAATGAAGCATGTAGGCTTTTAACAACCCATTTCAGTAATGTTTTCTTTAGCTATGATACTTCTCATAGTTAAAATCATTAGAGCAATGATTTTGTTCTTAGCTTGTGGACTTAGAGCCCCCTAGAGGTTGTTAGAGGTTCCACATGGAAGTCTAGAAAGTCATATGTGCATTTTCTGTCAATTGAATTAACACATGTATAGGCTAGGCCCAGTACCTCACACCTGTAATCTTAGCACTTTGGGAGGCTAAGGTGGGAGAAGGACTTGAGATCAGAAATTCAAGACCAGCCTGAGCAACATAGCAAGACTCCTATCTCTTGTTTTATTTTATTTATTAATGTATTATTTATATTTTTGAGTTGGAGTCTCACTCTCTTGCCCAGGCTGGAGGGCAGTGGCATGCTTCCAACCACCGTAGCCTCGACCTGCTGGACTTTGGTGATCCTTCTGCCTCAGCCTTCCAAGTAGCTGGAACTATAGGTGTGCACCACCACGCCCCGCTAATTTTTTGATTTATTGTAGAGACGAGTTCTCACCAAGTTGCCCAGGCTGGTCTTGAGTCTCTGGGCTTAGGCAATCCTTTTGCCTCGGCCTCCCAAAGTGCTGGGATTTCAGGCTGAGCCACTGTGCCCGGCCTATTTTATTTATTTAACTTAATTTATATTTATATTTGAGTCAGGATCTCACTCTGTTATCTGGACAGAGTGCAGTGGCACTCAGGGCTTATTGCAACCTCAACCTCCTAGGTTCAGGCAGTCCTTCCACCTCAGCCTCCTGAATAGTTGGGCATGCACTACCATGTCTAGCTAATTTTTGTATTTTTTTGTAGAGATAAGATCTCGCTTTGCTGCCCAGGCTGGTCTGAAACTCCTGAACTCAAGCAGTCCTCTCGCCTCGGTCTTTCAGAGTGCTGGGATTAGAGGCATGAGCCACTATGTCTGGTTGAGTCCCCCATTTCTACCAAAAAAAATTAGCCGCAGTGTGGTGGCACATGCCTGTAGTCCCTGCTACTTGGAAGACTGAGGTAAGAAGATGGCTTGAGGCCAAGAGTTTGAGACTGACCTCTGCAACATGGTAAGACTCCTGTCTCTACCAAAAAAAATTAGCTGGGTTTGGAGGCTGAGGTGGGAGGATTGCTTAAGGCCAGGAGTTTGAAACCAGACTGGCAACAGAGTGAGATTCTGCTCTCCACACATACATACACAAAATTAAACTGGGTTTGATGGTGCATGCCTGTAGTGTTCACTACTTAGGAGACTGAGGTAGGAGAATTGCTTGAGCATAGGAGTTCAAAATTGCAATGAGCATGATCATTCAAGCCTGGGCAACAGAGTGAGAACCTGTGTCTAAAAAAAAAAAAATATATATATATGTATATATATATATATATATATTTTTTTTTTAGTTTAATCTAATTTCTAAAGTTCACATAGATGTTTTTGTGACTAATTCAGTAGAGAAGCATCTTGATGAATTAGATATACTGATGTCTTTTCTTTTCTTTTTTTTGAGTTGGAGTCTCACTCTGTCGCCCAGACTGGAGTGCAGTGGCTGCTCCCGGCCACCGCAGCCTCAACCTGCTGGACTCTGGTGATCCTTCCGCCTCTGCCTTCCAAGTAGCTGGAACTACAGGCGCACGCTACCACGTCTGGCTAATTTTTGATTTATTGTAGCGATGAGGTCTCGTCAAGTTGCCCAGGCGGGTCTCGAACCCACAGGCTCAGGCAATCCACTCACCTCAGCCTCCCAAAGGCGCGGGATTACAGGCTGAACCACCTAGCCCGGCTGACATGTCTTTTCAGAGGGAAGCAATCTGAGGGCCTTAGTGTAGGAGATTTAGAATAACAGTTTTACATAGATTGCTGGAAATCGATGGGGTAAAAAAAAATTATTTTGATAGCAGATTCAGGTTACATGGTAATGTTTGATGTTTTCTTAGTCATCAGTATTCAAATAAGAAAAGAAGACTGGGTGCAGTGGCTCACACCTGTAATCCCTGCATTTTAGGCGACTGAGGCGAGAGGATTGCTTGAGACCAGCCTGGGCAACATAGCAAGACCTCTATTAAAAAAAAAATTAGCCAGATGTGGTAGTACATGCCTGTAGTCCCAGTGACTCAGGAGATGGGTTGAAAGGATCACTTGGACCCAGGAAGTCGAGGCTGCTGTGAGCCATGATCGTACCACCACAATCCAACCTAGGTGACAGAGTGAGACCTCAACTTAAAAAAAAAATTAAATTGTGGAAATCAAAATTTAAAATTGTTAAGTCGATTTCTTTAAATAAAAGTAACTTTAAGTATATTTCTACCTGCTACTATAGTGTTTAATTCTTTTTTTTTTTTTGAGTTGAAGTCTCACTCTGTTGCCCAGGCTGGAGTGCAGTGGCAGGCTCACGGCCACTGTAGCCTCGACCTGCTGGGCTCAGGCAATCCTTCTGCCTCAGCCTTCCAAGTAACTGGAACTACAGGCGCTCACCACCACGCCTGGCTGATTTTTTATTTATTGTAGAGATGAGGTCTCAACAAGTTGCCCAGGGGAGGTCTTGCCTTTACCTCCCAGAAGTGCTGGGATTATAGCCATTAGCCACTACATCCAGCCCATATTTAACTCTTGATGAGACATCTTTTTCTAACTTAATGACTGACTGCTTTCTGTACACACAATGTTGTGGTCTGTTATCTGTGCCACAGGTGTTGTATTTTTGATATTAAACATTTGCTGTCTACTGGAAGGCATTCTAGGTTCAAGGGTATATCTTAAACCATTCTTTAAAATATGTGTGCTACTTGTATCTGTTCCTTTAGCTACTAGATAAACAAGAATGTATATAGTGTGATTTCTTTCATTCCTTTGGCAAATATTTATTCAACTCTTGCTGTGAACCAGGACTTCTAGTCCCTGGAATTACAACTGTGAGTGAATAAAACAGACAAGGCTTGGCCCTGGTGGCACCTACCTTTTAGTGAGAGAACCATGATTAAGCATGATTAACATACAGATAGATGTCTGTATTAATGTTTGATAGGGGCAAGTGCTTTTTAAAAAGACCAGAAGAGGGATTAGGAATTGATATTTTCTCTTTTCCTTTCCTTTCCTTTCCTTTCCTTTCCTTTCCTTTCCTTTCCTTTCCTTTCCTTTCCTTTCCTTTCCTTTCCTTTCCTTTCCTTTCCTTCCTTTCCACAGACATTAGTCTATATCTGATGTGTTTTCTATTTTAGGAAGTGTTGCATGAGAAGGTCTTTCAAAATAGATATTTGAGCAGAAAGATTTGAATAGAGTGAAGGCACTAGTCTTGCAGCTCTCTGGAGGAATAGCTCTCCAGACATACACTTAGCAAATGTGGACACTTTGAGGGAAGGACATGCTTGGCCCATTCAAGGGACAGCAAGGAAGCAGGTTTGTCTGGAGCTGTGTGAACTTGGGTAGGATGTAGGTGACAAAGCTGGAGAAGTAGCCAAGTAGCCAGGGGGTAGATCATGTAGGATCTTCAAGTTTCATTCTGTTGTAAAATAAAGCCTTTGAATGGTTTCTAATTGGGAAATAAGTGATCTGACTTAAATTTAAAGGTTCACTCTCTGCTTTGTAGAGAACAGATTCTAGAATTATCAGAAAGTAAGTAGGGGGATCAGTTAGGAGGTTGTGGTTATAGATCTCCTGGGGAGAGATGATGGAGAGTTAGTGATAGAGATGGGGAGAGGTAGTCAGATTTGAGATGTAATTTGAAGGCAGAATCAGCAGGATCAAGGATGCTTGTGGTATGGAAGAGCACAGTCAAGGATAACTCCAGAGTTAATAAACAGTCACTGAACTTGAAGGATATACATAGGGTTTACATTGGCTATCTCTGATCAGTGGCCTTATTAGTAATAAGATTTTCTTTTTCTTTTTACTTTTCTGTATTTACTATCTTTAGAATACTGAACCAGTAATGCTCCTGTAATAAAAAAAATACAGATTATTTTAAAATTAAAGTTAACAGTGGTGTGAAATACAACCTAATTCTTAATGTGTTCTTCTACCCCTTTTGATTCTAGAAAATAACTTAAGTGACATAAACTTTTAAAATTTGTCTTTTTTACTCTTAGTGATCAGCTTTTGTACCCTTTTCACCTTTGAAGATGGTGAAGCTAGATATTCATACTCTAGCTCATCACCTCAAGCAGGAACGCTTATATGTAAACTCTGAGAAACAACTCATTCAGAGGCTCAATGCAGATGTACTTAAGACAGCTGAAAAGTTGTATCGAACAGCATGGATTGCAAAGCAACAGAGAATCAATTTGGATCGGCTTATCATAACCAGGTAAATAAAAGATTTTTCAGGTCTTAAATTTTGTGAGCCACTATGATTCTGTGCTAACTATAAATAAATGAATCTATTTCTAACAAAGTGCATGGCTTAAGATACTTTACAGTTTGTTTATTAATTAACTTAGGCATTGCTATAGAAAATTATAACTTGGCTGGGTGTGGTGGCTAATGCCTATAATCTCAGCACTATGGGAGGCGAAGGTGAGAGGATTGCCTGAGCTCAGGGGTTTGAGACCAGTCTGGGCAACTTGGCGAGACCTCTTTTCTACAATAGGTAAAAAAAATTAGCTGGGTGTGGTGACGCATGCCTGTGGTTCCATTTACTTGGAATGCTGAGGTGGAAGGATCGCCTGAGCCTAGCAGGTTGAGGATGTGGTGGTGTGAGTGTGCCACTGCACTCGAGCCTGGGCAACAGAGTGAGATTCTGACTCAAAAAAAAAGAAAAAGAAAATTATAACTTAAGAATTAACATTTTGCTTGTTTGCTCATTTTTTCAGTGCTGAAGCATCCCCTGCTGAATGTTGTCAACATGCCAAAATTTTGGAAGATACACAGTTTGTTGATGGATATAAGCAGTTGGGATTTCAGGAGACTGCTTACGGAGAATTCTTGAGTCGATTAAGGGAAAATCCTCGTCTTATTGCCTCCTCTTTGGTTGCTGGAGAGAAACTTAATCAGGAGAACACACAAAGTGTTATTTACACAGTTTTTACCTCCTTGTATGGCAACTGCATTATGCAAGAGGATGAAAGCTACCTCCTTCAGGTTTTGCGATACTTGATTGAATTTGAACTTAAAGAAAGTGACAACCCCAGGCGGCTTTTGAGGAGAGGAACTTGTGCCTTCAGTATCTTATTTAAGCTTTTTTCTGAAGGACTGTTTTCTGCCAAACTTTTCCTGACAGCTACTTTACATGAGCCAATCATGCAACTGCTTGTTGAAGATGAAGATCACCTGGAAACAGATCCAAACAAGCTAATTGAGAGGTTCTCCCCATCTCAGCAGGAAAAACTCTTTGGGGAGAAGGGCTCAGATAGATTCAGGCAAAAAGTTCAGGAGATGGTGGAGTCCAATGAAGCCAAACTGGTGGCTTTGGTGAATAAATTTATTGGTTATCTCAAACAGAACACATACTGCTTTCCACATAGTTTGAGGTGGATTGTGTCTCAGATGTACAAAACCCTCTCCTGTGTAGATAGACTGGAAGTCGGGGAAGTCAGGGCGATGTGTACTGATCTCCTGTTGGCCTGCTTCATTTGTCCAGCAGTTGTTAATCCCGAACAGTATGGAATAATTTCTGACGCTCCTATTAATGAGGTGGCGCGATTTAATCTGATGCAGGTATGCTTTCACTATTGTTAATGTGGCATTTAGTCTAAAATCAACTGATTGGGCTATGGGGTAGGAACAAAAAATATGATGACAATATTCACACATTCTTACCATTCTCTTTTCTCAAAGTGACCTAAATACTTGCTTCTTATGAAATATAGGCAGTCATTAAGATTTTAAAATTTTGTAGTCATAGAACATTTTGTGTTAGTTTTTAAATGGAATCCTCACACATTTGAATTTATATTTGATTAGATCTTCTAGAACAAGTCCACCTTCCCTTTTGCATAATTTCAAATCCAGAATGATTGAAAATTGAGAGTATCTTCTCTACTTCATTTGGTAGCAAAACCTATACTGAATTAACATGAGGCTATTTATAATTGTTAGTCTGTTTAATGCTAGTAAATACTTATGTTTCGTTGCAGAAATGTTAATGCATTTGATGATAGAATGTCATCCTTTATACTGGATATGTTATATATATGTAGTAGATTGCTGTTCTAGAATCTCTAAATTCTGAAATTTGAAACTCTTCTAGACTTATGCATTTCAGAAAGACATTTTTTGGATCTATATTAGCATATTTTTTTCTAATCTCGGTGAATGAATTCATGTTATTATTTATTTAGAAAATCTTTATTATTTATTTATTTATTTATGAGTTGGAGTCTCACTCTGTCACCCCAGACTGGAGTGCAGTGGCCACTCCTGGCTACCACAGCCTTGACCTGCTGGGCTCTGGCGATCCTTCCGCCTTAGCCTTCCAAGTAGCTGGAACTACAGGCGTGTGTTACCACACCTAGCTAATTTTTTGATTTATTGTAGAGATGAGGTCTTGCCAAGTTGCCCAGGCGGGTCTCGAACCCATGGGCTCAGGCAATCCACTCACCTCAGCCTCCCAAGGCACGGGATTACAGGCTGAACCACCGAGCCCGGCTTTAGAAAATCTTTTAATCATATTTTATCTCCCAGAAATATTGTGAAAAAGGAAATTGGATTTATTCAGAATGGACTATTTGGGGATTTTTTTTTTTTTTTAATGATAAGCTATTTTTCATGATCAGGTCTATCACTTTGGAGTGAGATCAATTCACTATATAGGAAATCCCTGAAATAAAAATTTTAATTTTTTCATCCATGAAGCATTAAATTTTTCCTTATGGTAGATAATGTGTTTATAGTTTGGTTTTTGTCATTCCAGTAGAGGTTGAATCCCATACTTTCAAAATAAGTATAAAGGGGGTTTGTCCCAGACATTAAGGAGATGACACTCTAATAACTTTTCATCATGTATCCTCTAAAGAGAGTATATTACCAGTCACTTTTGGTAGTAAGGAACTGCTTTGTGAATTAGTATTTACTTTGCCAATTTCTGTAGGAATTACTCACCTAGATTGGAGTGCAGTGGTGTATTCACAGCCACCTCAGCTCGACTTGCTGGGCTCAGGCGATCCTTCCGCTTCAACCTTCTGAGTAGCTGGAACCACAGGCACACGCCACTACGCTCAGCTAATTTTTTTTGATTTATTGTAGAGACGAGGGCTCATCAAGTTGTCCAGGCTGGTCTCGAACCTGTGGACTCAGGCAATCCTCTTGCCTTGGCCTCCCAAAGTGCTGGGATTACAGGTGTGAGCCACCATGCCCAGCAAGAATTGTTCACTCTTAAGTCTAGAAAAAAAAAATTCTACCTTGAGTGCTTTATGAACTCTATAGGATAATGTTTTTAATATTAGCTTGAAGTAGTTTACTGAGTGAGTCAACTTTTGCAAATTAATTTAGAAGTTTCTAAAAACATGAAAAGTACAATATCAGAAACAAAAATATTAAGCTTTTATTTCCTAATGTTGACATCATATGTGTTAAAGAGAAATTAAAACAAAAATTTCTGCTTTCTCTCTGTAACTCTTTTTTTTTTTTTTTGAGTTGGATTCTCACCCTGTCCCCCAGGCTGGAGTGCAGTGGCATGCTCACAGCCACTGCAGCCTCGACCTGCTGGGCTCAGGTGATCCTTCTGCTTCGGCCTTCTAAGTAGCTGGAACTACAGGCGCATGTTACCACACCCGGCTAATATAACTCTTTTTTTAAAAAAATTATTTGATTTTATTTTTAGAGTCAAGAACTCTCTCTGTTGCCCAGACTGGAGTACAGTGGTATGATCATAGCTGACTGCATCCTTGAACTCCTGGGCTTAAGTGATCCTGTCATCTCAGCTTCCCAAGTAGCTGGGACTACATACGGGTGCATACCTCCATACCCAGCTTGTTTTTAAATTTTTTGTAGAGACAGGATCTTGCTGTATTGCGCAGGCTGGTCTCCAACTCCTGGTATCTAGTGAGCCTCCCACCTCAGCCTCCCAAAGTGTTAGAGTTATAGGCATGAGCCATCGTGCCCGATCTCTATACTTCTTAATCTAAAAATAGTAAAAGTTGACATAGACAAGATCCATATTTTATTGGGGATCCTAATTTGTATTCCTGGTCAGGTGGTGTGAATGTTATTATGAAACAGATTTTTAGACGTGTTTTCATAGAGAGGAATTTGTAAGTATTTATAGCCTATGTCTCCCTACTGCTGTTTTGGGTTGCAGGTTGGCCGCCTTTTGCAGCAGTTAGCAATGACTGGATCTGAAGAGGGAGATCCCCGAACAAAAAGTAGCCTTGGAAAATTTGATAAAGTAAGAATGAATACTATGTCATGTGAAATACTGTTTTCAGAAAATTCTGCCTAAGTATTAGTGAACCTAACTATTCTCTTCATTAAATGTTGTCCTTAGGTGATATATAAATTAGATGTTCTTTTAATTAACTACAGTATTGGATCAACAACATTTCTTTTCCCCATCATTCCTCCTTCTGAGCTGCTCTTTTATCTTTTTTTTTTTTAAAAGATCAGCAGCATTTAAAGGAAGATGTCAATAAAGATTATTTATTCTCACAGAAATATTAAAGAGATGCCATTGTAATAAGAATCAAAGAACTATTTTTTATTTTTTTTTGGACCAGGATCTCACTCTGTCATCTAGGCTGGAATGCAGTGGTTATAATCATGGCTCACTGCGGTCTTGACCTGGGCTCAGGCAATTCTGCTTCAGCCTCCCAAGTTGCTTGGATTGTAGGCACATGCTGCCACTCCCAGCTAATTTTTTGTAGTGACTAGTCTCACTATGTTGCCTAGGCTAGTCTCAAACTCCTGGGCTCAAGCAATCCTTTTACCTTGGCCTCTCAAAATGCTGGGATTATAGACATGAGGCACTGCGCCCAGCTCAAAGGACTATTTCTTTTTTTCTTGAGTAGGAGTCTCACTCTGTCATCCAGGTTGGAGTGTGGTAGCACGCTAATAGCCACTGCAGCCTCAACCTGCTGGGCTCAGGTGATCCTTCTGCCTCAGCCTTCCGAGTAGCTGGAACTACAGGCACACACCTCCACGCCTGGCTAATTTTTTGATTTATTGTAGAGACGAGGTCTCACCAAGTTATCCAGGCTGGTCTCAAACCCGTGGGCTCAGGCAGTCCTCTTACCTCAGACTCCCAAAGTGCTGGGCCAAAGGACTATTAAGATTATTTTATTTTGGCTGGGCGAGGTGGCTCACGGCTATAATCCCAGCACTTTGGGAGACTGAGGTGAGAGGCTGCCTGAGCCCAAGGATTTGCGACCAGCCTGGGCAACTTGGTGAGACCACATCTCTACAATAAGTCAAAAAGTTAGCTGGACATGGTGGCGCATGCCTGTAGTTCCAGCTATTTGGAACTTTTTTTTTTCTTGAGTTGGAGTCTCACTTTGTCGCCTAGACTGGAGTGCAGTGGCATACTCACGGCCACCGCAGCCTCGACCTCCGGCAATCCTTCCGCCTCAGCCTTCCAAGTAACCAGGACTATAGGCGCGCGCTATCACGCCCAGCTTATTTTTGATTTATTGTAGAGATGAGGTCTTGCCAAATTGCCCGGGTGGGTCTCGAACCCGCAGGCTCAGGCAATCCACTTGCCTCGGCCTCCCAAAGTGCTGGGATTACAGGCTGAGCCACTGAGCCTGGCCGAAACTTTTTTATGAGCTGTAGTCTCACTCTGTTGCCCAGGCTGGAGTGCAGTGGCACACTCACGGTCACCACAGCCTCAACCTGCTGGGCTCAGGTGATCCTTCCTCCTCGGACTTCCAAGTAATTTATCTTCCACCTCTCCTCTCTAACCTTCATTTTCTTCCCCAAAAGTTCTTTATGTTGTCAGTCTTTTGTTTATCCTTCCAGAGGTCTATATGTATACAAGCAAATTCCGGCATATACTATAGTCTCCCATTCACCCCATCCCTCTCTTTTCAGAAATGGTAGGATAGTGTGTATACTGTTCTGTGTCATGTTTGTTTTTCTGACTAGATTATCTGGGAGATTATTCTATTTCCGTACATAAAGAGTTTACTTTTTTAAAATGTTGTGTACAATATAATTTTCAAGATGTTGGATTTTTTTTTTGCATGTTTGTTCACCTTAATCTGAAATTTTGTTCCAGTATTTTAAAAGAGAAGCACTTAAGAGATGTTCTTTCCCTCTTTTAACAGAGTTGTGTTGCTGCTTTCCTTGATGTTGTGATTGGCGGCCGTGCAGTGGAGACCCCACCAATGTCATCTGTTAATCTTCTGGAAGGGTTGAGCAGAACTGTGGTTTATATAACCTATAGTCAGCTTATTACTCTGGTAATGACTTTATTGTTTAATAGTATTTTTTCAAAGTCTTTGAACTAAGCATGAACAGAGACATTGTGTGAGAAATTTATACTGTATTTGAAAAATTGATTTCACTAACTATTGTTCTTTACTTTTGCCAGGTGAATTTTATGAAGAGTGTGATGTCTGGAGATCAACTGAGAGAAGATAGAATGGCACTTGACAATTTATTGGCAAACCTACCCCAGGCAAAGCCAGGGAAAAGCAGCAGTTTAGAAATGACTCCCTATAGTACTCCTCAGCTGTCTCCAGCAACTACTCCAGCAAATAAAAAGAATCGATTACCTATAGGTAAAGAGAATTTCTCATATTGGATCTTTCCCTTAAATTTAGTCTTTTGCCATTAACTTTTGTGATTGCTCAGTGTTGTAGAATATGTTTTTAAATACTTCAGGGAAGTCATTCTCTTTATGTATACTGATGGTATTTCAATTTTTAAAAATTGCTCTAGATTAGTTAATGTTTATCAGTAGACTTTAGCTTTATCTAGATATACTTTTCATAATTAATTGAAATTATGTTACTCAGGGTACACTCTGTTTAAATTTTATTTTCTTTTCTTGGAAACTTTTGAAAAGGTTATAAGTAGTCATTTTATTTATTTATTTATTTTTTTGAGTTGGAGTCTCATTCAGTCACCCAGACTGGAGTGCAGTGGCCGCTCCTGGCCACCGCAGCCTCGACCTGCTGGGCTCCGGCGATCCTTCCGCCTCAGCCTTCCAAGTAGCTGGAACTATAGGCGTGCACTACCATGCCCAGCTAATTTTTGATTTATTGTAGAGATGAGGTCTTGCCCAGTTGCCCAGGCGGGTCTTGAACCCGCAGGCTCAGGCAATCCACTCACCTCAGCCATAAATAGTCATTTTTTAAAATTATGTAGTCCTTTCCTTATTGTGAGGTTCTCAGTAATATAATAAACAGTATTTTAGAAGTTTCCATCTATAGACTTAATAGTTACTATGTTTTCCACTGTTGTTTTTATTACTAATCAATCTTTTATCAACTGAGCTAAGATATCTTAATGTTATAAAGCAAAAGTTTCATTTTACGTCGTCAAGTTTATTAATTTATTTAAGAATTTTGTTTTAGTTGGGTGTGGTGACTCATGCCTGTAATCTGAACACTTTGGGAGGCTGAGACAAGAGGATTGCCTAAGTTCAGAGGTTTGAGACCAGCCTGGGCAATTTGGCCAGACCTTGTTTCTATAATAAATAAAAAAATTAGCCAGGTGTGGTGGTGCGCACCTGTGATTCCCACTCCCTGAAAGGCAGAAGCAGAAGGATCACTTGAGCCCAGCAAGTTGAGGCTGTGAGTGTGGCACTGCATTCCAGCCTGGGTAACAAAGTGAGACTCTACTCAAAAATAAATAAATAAATAAAAGAACTTTCTTTGAGTTTCATTCACTGAGTCAACATTTGTTATCTAGCTACACAAAAATTAATAGCACTATATAGATATATATATATAGATATATATGGATATAGATATAGTGCTTTCATTTAATCATATACAAATTCTTTGAGCTGGGCTTGGTGGCTCAGCCTGTAATCCCAGCACTTTGGGAGGCTGAGGTGAGTGGATTGCTTGAACCCGTGGGTTTGAGACCCGCCTGGGCAACTTGGTGAGACCTCATCTCTACAATAAATCAAAAATTAGCCAGGCGTGGTAGTTCCAGCTACTTGGAAGACTGAGGCGGAAGGATTGCCGGAGCCCAGCAGGTCGAGGCTGCGGTGGCTGGGAGTGGCCACTACACCACTGCACTCCAGTCTGGGTGACGGGGTGAGACTCCAAAAAACATTCTTTGAGGGTAGCTATATCTTGCACATGAGGCACTATGTCAGACACTGGTGATACAAAACCATTAGGACATGCCCTCATTCTCATACTCTTAAGTTAGCTGCTGATAGTTTAGTTGGGAAGAACAGGAAGAGATCAGCACCCTTCATTGTATTAAGTGATGGAGATAAACATGGGGACTATGGGGACACATAACTTAGCCAAGTGGTAGAGGTTTCGGGAGAAGATCTTTGAGTAGATGAAGCCTGCACTTTGTTTTGTTTTGAAGGGTGAATGGGAGTTAGACAAACAAGACAGGGAGAAAGTGTTTAGTCCAGGGGAACAGGGATATTTTAGTGCCAGCCTAATTGTAATGAGGAACTCAGTGACACTGAGCTTGAGTAGTTACTGTAATTTACATATTTTGAAGAATAGGATTTAATTTTTAAATTCCATGATTTAAAGAACTTTGAATTTCTTAAAATTAATCTACTTTACATTTAACATAATATGGAATTGTGTCGTCTGCAGGAATGTGGTATCATATTCTTCAAGTCTTTGGTTTACTGCATCATCCCAAAATGTCAGTTTTCATAATTAAAAATAGACAAAAGGGAAGTTTTGCACTTAATGCTATTTAATACTATGTGCTATTTTCACTCTGTTAACATGAAAAAATAAATGGTTTTTGGTAAATCAGAGATTTTTTTTTTACCCCTTTATTTGCTGCTATACATTAGTTTTTTCATTTCCCATTATCCAAAAGTATCATTAGGGCCAGGCATGGTAGCTCATGCCTGTCATCATAGCGGTTTGAAAGGTTGAGGCGGGAGAATTGCTTGAGCCCAGGAGCTTGAGACCAGCCCGGGCAACATAGTAAGACCTAATCTCTACAAAAAAATGAAAAAATTAGCTGGGCGTGGTGTCACATGGTGTCACATGCCTGTAGTCCTAGCTACTTGGGAGACTGAGGCAGAAGGATCACCCGAGCCCAGAAGGTCAAGGCTGCAGTGAGTCAGGATTGCTCCCTGTGCTCCAGCCTAGGTGACAGAGTGAGATCCTGTCTCATTAGTTGTCATTAATTATGCATCTGATGGAAAATAAATTTCAAATGTGTGCCCAGTATTATTTTGTATAGTCATGTGACTTGGTCATTGTATTATTTTATATTTTTAAAAAATGTATCCATTGTTCAAAGGGTTGATTTTCTTTCTATTTAATGCTTTCGCAACCCAGGACAACAGTTAGCAGCCATCACTGCTTGGGATTCCTCAACCACCAATCTTACTGCTCATATTACACTAGTAACCCCATTTGGTGGGTAGTAGGCTATTCTTCCTCTTCTCATATAATTTTATTTATGAAATAGTTTATAAAAGTGTGCTTCATGTGCATGTTGCTTTTGCTTTATGTAAATTGCTTCATGAAATTAGATTACTTGCGATTTTATAAATTATAAGGTTTATTAAGATTCATTGACCTGTTCATAAAGTTGAATTTAGGTTCACATTTCAGTAAAAGATAGTGAGGACCAGCAAATAAAGGTGTTAGTGAGCTTATTTTAGACTTTTGGAAATTGATGTGTGCTCTGAATTTTCAGACTAAAAGTGATTAATGAACAGATCTACAGCATTGTATTTCTGTCTCTTTCTGTCTTCAAGTAGATCAACTATCAATGTGAAATTTAAAAACTTTTGCTACGATAGAGTGTTTTTACTTATGTCTGTACTTTTGATTATTTTGCATTGAAGGAGAATTTCTATTTAGTATTCTGGTTATAGTAAATTTTATTGTCCTCTGAAGGAAAATGGAAACTTATCACAGAAGACTAAAAGTCACAGAGAAATTGTCACAAACTAAATCTTTCAATGTTCAAAAGTTCTTAGAAGATCTATAGGACAGATCATTTTAGAAATTACTTGTTTACTTATAATTATGGGGAAAACAAAAATAATTGAATCTTTTATTAATATAGAATGTTTCCATAAAGCAGAAAAGACCTCATATTCAGGCTTAAGGAAGTTTTCTCTCCAGTATCTTTGGAAAAAGGCTATTACATTTCACACACAAAAAAAAGTGCTTTCAAAACTGATTCTGGTTTTGTTAATAGTTGCTTAGTTAAGTTATATTGCTTATGTGGCTATTAGGTTTTCATATAAAATTTTCTAATGCTTCTAAGTTCAATTATTAGTATGGAAGACCTGTGGCACTCAAAATAGGTATCAAAAGGTAAAAAAATTAGGTGGTTTTTTTTTTTTTTTTTTTTGGTCATCCAAGTCAAATTAATTGGGATGTGTTTCGTTCTGTAGATGTGATCATCTATGTGTCACTCCCTGATAGGTGAACTTGGATCACTGTTCCTGATTATCAGTTGTAAAGGAGAATCTATATTAGCCATCAGTAGAGTGACCAGGAAGATCTAGGTTTTAGTAATTTAGTTTAGTTTAGTTTTGTTTTATTTATGTCTTCGCCACATTTTTGTGCATGCGCAAATGTTTCGCACTAATAGAAAATATATTTTTATATTTAATGTGCCATTTTCTTCATTTTGTCTATTTCTCTGAATTATTTTATTTGAAATTTTTTTTATTAGCAACTCGGAGCAGAAGCCGTACCAATATGCTAATGGACCTACATATGGACCATGAAGGATCATCTCAAGAAACCATCCAGGAGGTACAACCAGAAGAGGTGTTGGTCATTTCCTTAGGGACCGGTCCTCAGCTTACTCCAGGGATGATGTCAGAAAATGAGGTATGAATATACATGGTCACTTGCTTCTATAAATCATTATTCATGTATTTTTTATTTTTTTGAGTTGGAGTCTCACTCTGTTGCCCAGGCTGGAGTGCAGTGGCATACTCACAGCCACCCCAACGTGGACCTGCTGGGCTCAGGCGATCCTTCCACCTCAGCCTTCCAAGTAGCTGGAACTACAGGCGTGTGCTACCACGCCCAGCTAATTTTCTGATTTATTGTAGAGATGAGATCTCGCCAAGTTGCCCAGGCTATTCTCGAACCCGTGGGCTCAAGCAGTTTCCTCACCTCAGCCTCCCAAAGTGCTGGGATCACAGACTTGAGCCACCACGCCTGGCCTCATTATTCATGTCTTACTCTGTCCTGGCTGCTGTAGCAAAATACCAGAGGCTGGGTGGCATATAAAAAACATAATTTATTTCTCACAGTTCTAGCTGCCAGGAAGTTCATGATCAAGACAGATTCAGTGTCTCATAGAGTGTTTTCTGGTTCATAGAGGGTGCTTTGTTTTTGTTTTTGTTTTTTGCTGAGTCGAAGTCTCACTGGTGCCCAGGCTGGACTGTAGTGGCATGCTCACGGCCACAGCAACCTCAGCCTGTTGGACTCAGGTGATTCTTCCACCTCAACCTTCCAAGTAGCTGGAACCACAGGTGCATGCCATCACACCCAGCTAGTCTTTTGATTTATTGTAGAGACGAGGTCTTGCCAAGTTGCCTAGGCTGGTCTCAAACCTGTGAGCTCAGGCAGTCCTCTAGTCTCTGCCTCCCAAAGTGCTGAGATTACAGGCATGAGCCACTGCACCTGGCTTGGTGCTTTCTCAATGTGTCCTTGGCCTTATTTTATAAGAGCACTAATCCCATTCATGAGGGTTCTGCCCTCATGACCTAATCACTTCATCAAAGTTCCCGTCTTCAGATACCATCACCTGGGGGTAAGGATTTCAACATGAATTTGGGGGGAGCAAAAATATTCCTATTATAGCAATGGTCTGGGTGTGGTGGTCCATACTTGTAATCCTTTGAAGAGGGAGGATGGCTTAAGGCCAGGAGTTCAACACCAGCCTGGGCAACATAGCTAGACTTTGTCTCTACAACAACAAAAGAGATTAGCTGGGTGTGGTGGTGCATGCCTGTAATCCCAGCTAATCTGGAGGTTGAAAGAGGATCGCCTGAGTCCAGGAGTTTGAGGCTGCAGTGAGCCATGATTGTGCCACTATGCTCCAGCCTGGTTGACAGAGCAAGACTGTCTCAAAAAAAAAAAATTATAGCAATAAAATTTGATGCATATTATTCATTATCTTCTGTGGGCCCACCATGGCAAATCGTCAAATGCTAAGCTCCCTGTGAATAGTTGTGGAGGCCTTTTATATTAATATATCTGTGACACTGAAGTTGGAGAATAGGTCTAAACACAAGGAATGTTTCTACTAGCAATAGAAGCCAGAGGAAGCCAGTAAATTTTGGTGAGGAAGTTGAAGAGATTTTTCCAGTGACTTGTAGGAAATAGTTTTGTGTGTTTTCTTTCTAGTGGTTTACTAATATTCCTGCTTTAAAGAGGCAAAAATTAGCTGGGCTCGGTGGCTCAGCCTGTAATCCCGTGCTTTGGGAGGCTGAGGTGAGTGAATAGCCTGAGCCCGCAGGTTTGAGACCTGCCTGGGCAACTTGGCGAGACCTCATCTCCACAATAAACCAAAAATTAGCCGGGCATGGTAGTGCGCGCGCCTGTAGTTCCAGCTACTTGGAAGGCTGAGGCGGAAGGATCGCTGGAGCCCAGTAGGTCAAGGCTGTGGTGGCCAGGAGCGGTCACTGCACTCCAGTCTGGGTGACAGAGTGAGACTCCAACTCAAAAATAAATAAATAAATAAAGAGGCAAAAATTGTTGAGATATGTCTTCTTTTGCTGGTCAGGAAAAAATGGAAGAGGTAACTGAAAAGAAAGCTAAGAATATAAGTTGTTTTTTTTTTGAGTTGAAGTCTCATTCTATTGACCGGTTTGGAGTGCAGCGGCACACTCATGGTCATCCCAGAGTCAACCTGCTGGACTCCGGCAAAACCCGCTGCCTCAGCTTGCCAAGTAGCTGGAACTACAGACACATGCTACCACGCCCAGCTAATTTATTTTTTATTTTTTTTAATTATAGAGATGAGGTCTCTCCTTGTTGCCTGGGCTGGTCTCAAACCCGTGGGCTCAGGCAATCCCCTCGCCTCAGCCTCCCAAAGTACTGGGATTACAGGCTAAGCCACTCAGCCTGGCCAAAAATAAGATTTTTTGATGAAATTGGGTTGGAGGTACGGGAGTCAGTTTTAAGATGTTTGTTTGTTTGTTTGTTTTTGAGTCGGAGTCTCATTCTGTCATTCGGGCTGGAGTGCAGTGGCACAGTCACAGCCACCGCATCCTTGACCTGCTGGGCTCAGGTAATCCTGCTTCAGTCTTCTAAGTTGCTGGAATTACAGGCATGTGTCACCATGCCCAGCTAACTTTTTTTTTTGATTCGGAGTCTCACTTGTCGCCCAGGCTGGAGTGCAGTGGTACATTCACGGCCACTGCAGCGTCAGTTGGCTGGGCTCCTGTGATCCTTCTGCCACAGCCTTCCAAGTAGCCGGAACTACAGGCACATGCTACCATGCCCAGCTAAGTTTTGATTTATTGTAGAGAAGAGGTCTTGCCAAGTTGCCCAGGCTGGTCTTGAACCCACGGACTCAGTCCACCTGCCTTGGCTTCCCAAAGTGCTGGGATTACAGGCTGAGCCACTGAGCCCGCCCAGCTAATTTTTTGATCTATTGTAGACGTGAGCCACTGCACCTGAGCAGTTGTAAGATATTTGTAACAAAAGAGTTTGGCTTAGTGGAAAATGAAGAGAGGAAGAGATCTTGACTCTCTAAAGGTAGGAGCCTCTTTTCATAGATTGTGACCTCCTGAAAAGGTAGCAGTTATCTTATATTCAACAGTTACTGCTTATTATTCAAGAAAATTCCTTAGCTGGGCATGGTGGCTTACGCCTATAATCCCAGCACTTTAGGAGGCCGAGGTGAGAGGATTGCATGAGCCCATGGGTTTGAGACCAGCCTGGGCAACTTGAGAGACTTCATCTCTACAATAAATCAAAAAATTAACCAGATGTGGTGGCGTGTGCCTGTAGTTCCAGCTATTTGCAAGACTGTGGCTGATGGGTCACCTGAGCCCAGCAGGTTGGGCCTGCAGTGGCCATGAACTTGCCACTGCACTCCAACCTGGGTGATAAAGTGAGACTCCAACTCAAAAAAAAAAAAAGAAAAAAAGAAAATTTATTAGTTATAGTGGTTGATAAAGGGATGGTGGTTGGTAAAGCTGTGTTTGAGCCATAGTATGGCAGGGAAGAGGACTGACAAACTCCAAAGTTTCATCCCTCTACAAAAGCAAACAAACAGGAAAGAGTAAGCTGGCAAAAACTATCAGAATCAATTTTGTAAAACTCTGAAATCTAACAAAAAACTTTCAACAACATACAACCCAGAAGAATGCTTAATGAGGGAAAAACTGCTGAATTTTAAGAGATCTTTGTGGTTTTACTTTATCTTGTTAATGTCCCCAATCCTCAGCTTAGTACTAAAGGCTGCCTTGAAGACAGCAGCCTGCATTCCTATGCAGTTTGCTGGTACCTGAGTGAACAATGTGGATTTTATTCTGAGAGTATCATAGTTGTATATTTTGGTCTGTCTGGTAGATCCCTGAAGGATCAGCTCATAGGCTTGCGGCCCTGTGATCTTCTCCAGAATTGGGTTAGGGCAACTTCACAGGTGGCATTTGTCAAAAGCATTAAAAAGGCAAATGTGTTAATTGCTTCTGCTTGGAGCAAGGTATAATAATCAGGGCCATCAGCAGACCAAATCAGATTAAAAGCCTAGGAAGGAAGAGGTTGGAGAAAAGAAATAATAGGGGTCACAAGGGCTTTGAAAAGCTCCCACATGTTCTGGGTAATCTAGAAGGCCATAAACATACCTGGTCATGTGCTCAGGAAAGACCTTAGAAGACCCTAAACTCACTGCTGCCTGACCTTTAGTCTTAACCCAGCAGAAAGTGAAGGCTAAGTTACAGTTGCAGTACTGTCTGTCTAAATGTTGAGGAACTATCCCAACACAACCAATCTGCAAAAACTTGTAAATTGTTTTTGTTAGTTCTTTTTTTTTTTGAGTTTCACTCTGTTGCCCAGGCTAGAGTGCAGTGACATACTCACGGCCACCACAGCCTCGACCTTCTGGGCTCAGGCGATCTTTCTGCCTCAGCCTTCCAAGTAGCAGGAACCACAGGCACGTGCCACCACACCTAGCTAAATTTTTTAGTTTATTGTAAAGATGAGGTCTTGCCAAGTTGCCCATGCTGGTCTTGAACCCCTGGGCTCAGGCAGTTCTCTCACCTCAGCCTCCCAAAATACTGGAATTACGGGTGTGAGCCACCGTGCCCAGTGAGTTTGTTTTTGTTTTTGATTCCAGATCTTAAGTCTTCCATATTGCTTGCTGACCACTGAACTAATAGAACAGAGACTTCAGTGGCCACACATAACAAAAAATTTAGTAAAGTCATTGGTCACCACCATCAAACAGCAACAACCAACTCTAGGAGCTAAGGGGGAAATCTAATTTCAGAATCACCACTTTATAATATTTATAATGTCCAGTTTTCAACAAAACTTATGAGGCATGTAAAGAAGCAAGAAAGTATGACCCATTACAGGAAAAGAGAAATTAATAGAAAATGTTCTTGGTAAAGCATAGATACTGGACTTACTCAGGACTTTAAATAAATTTTTTAATGTATACTCTAAGTGCTAAGGAAATCATGGACAAAGAACTAAAGGAAACTAAGAGAAGATGGTCTCACCAAATAGAGGATATCAATAAAGAGGTAGAAATTGCAAAAAAAGGAACCATATAGAAATTCTGGAGTTGAAAATAACTGAAAAGAAAAATACACTAGTGGGGTTTAGTAGCGGTTTTGAATAGGCAGAATAACCAGTGATCTTGAACATGTAACAGTTGAGATTATCTAGTCTGAGGAGCAGAAAGATTACAAGACACAAAGAAAGACATTATATGTTGATAAACGGTCACTTCATCAAGGAGATATAGCAGTTATAAACATATGTATACCTAACAATAGCCCTAGTATATATGAAGCAAAGCTGACAGAATTGAAGGGAGAAATAGACAGCTGTATAATAATAACTAGAGAGTTTAATACTTTACTTTCAATAATGAATAAGAACAACTAGACAAGATCAACAAGGAAATAGAGGAGTTGAGTAACACTATAAACCAACTAGGCCTAACACACATAAATAGAACATCCAACTATTAATACAACAGATTGCACATTCTCTTTAAATGCACATGGGTATATTCTTCAGGCTAGATTATATGTTAAGCCATTAAACAAGTGTCAGTAAATTTTAAAAGATTGAAATCATACAAAGTATCTTTTCTGAGCAAAGTGAAACAGAACTAAAAATCAGTTAACAGAAAGAAATTGGAAAATACACAAATATATAAAAATTGAACAATGCACTGTTAATTAATGGATCAAGAAGAAAAAGGAACTCAGAAAATACTTTAAAAGGAATGAAAATGAAGACACACGTATCAAAATTATTGGTGAAAACAGTGACCAGAGGGAAATGGATAGGTGTAAATGCCTGTGTTAAAAAAAGAAAGATCTTGATTGGTAAACTGACTTTCTACCTTAAGGGGCTAAAAAAATAAGAGCAAACTTTGAGTCATATGAAATTGTTCTTTTTTGTAGATCAACAACTGTTGAATGTCAGTATTTTTATGCATTTTGTGTGTGTGTATGTGTGGTCAAGATTTTTCTTATTTGGATAAGAGATTAGATTACTAGTGTTTCTTAATGGAGTTTGTGTTGGAATTCTGGGTAAGACAACTCTTTGTTTTGGGAGTGGCCTTATTTTTAATCCCATGCCTCTGAGACTAAATGCCAGCAGAGTTTACCAGTCCTTATAACTACCCATACGTCCCCACTCACTTGCAAAAGATTCTTGGAAGGATTTCAACTTCTATCTTAGAACTCATGAGCTAGGTGGACTCTTAATGTTCCTTCAGTGCTGATATTCTGTGGTTTTAGTTTAGCCTGGATTTCACAGATTCTCCGATTTAGAGGCATAAGATTAAATTTTTAATTTTTTTAAAGAGACTGGGTCTTACTATGTCACATAGGCTGGTCTTGAACTCCCAGGCTCCAATGATCTTCCTTCCTCAGCCTCCAGTATAGCTGGTACTACAGGCACATACCACTCCACCTGGCTCAGATTTTTGTATTTTATGTTCCAGTGTGACTGGCTTTGAACAATAGCTTTATGTATAGTATCATAAAATTGCTTGCCTTTGGATATGATTTGGGAAAATATTTTCTTCATGGTATGATCCTTTTATTTTCTCTTAATTCATACTACTCTCCAGGCCTCTAGATGAATTTTTTCTTGAACTTTTGTTTCAAATCACTCACAATGATGGGTTTAAAGGTAAAGTTGTCTTAAAAATACAAACTTAAAAATTTTTATTTTCTCAATTTCAAGCAGATAGAAAACATAATCTATTTTTAAATGGCTTTTGAAAAGCATCACACGGATCAGGTGCAGTGACTCAAGCCTGTAATCCCAGCACTTTGGGAGGCCAAGGTGAGAGGATTGCCTGAGCCCAGGGCTTCAAGACCAGCCTAGGTTACTAGGTGAGACCTCATCTCTACAATAGATTAAAAAAAAAAAAAATTAGCTAGGCAAGGTAACACACACCTATAGTTCTGGCTACTTGGAAGGCTGAAGTGGAAGGATCACCTAAGTCCAGCAGGTCGATGCTGTGGCAGCCACGAGTATGCCGCTGTGCTTCAGCCTATGTGACAGAGTAAGATTCCAACTCAAATAAATAAATAAATAAAAAACATCACATGTGTAAATATATAGAATCACTAAAAAACCTATAATTTACTCATGCAGAGCTAAAACAGCAACCTAGAAGGTTTTTTTTTGAAAGTTATTTGTCTTTTTAACTGACAAAAAATTTATATATTTATGGTGTTTAACTTGGTGTTTTGATATAGTTATGCATGTGGAATGACTAAATCAAGCTGGTTAACATATGCATTACCTCACATACTTTTTTTTTGTGGTGGGAACTTTTTTCTTTGTAAGTGAGGATACAAAGAAAAGAAAGTTCTTTTATATTCTAGCAATAGCCAAGGAAGCCAAGGGCTCTGAGTTCAAGTTCTAGTTATACTTAAAACATGCTGCCGGGCTTGGTGGCTCAGCCTGTAATCCCACGCCTTTGGGAGGCTGAGGTGAGTGGATTGCCTGAGCCTGCGGGTTCGAGACCCACCTGGGCAGCGAGACCTCATCTCTACAATAAATCAAAAAATCAGCCGGGCGTGGTAGCGCATGCCTGTAATTCCGGCTACTTGGAAGGCTGAGGTGGAAGGATCGCCGGAGCCCAGCAGGCGAGGCTGCAGTGGCCGGGAGCGGCCACTGCACTCCAGTCTGGCAACCAAGTGAGACTCCAACTCAAAAAAAAAAAAAAAATGCTATGTAGATCTGGTGCAGTGGCTTAAGCCTGTAATCCCAGCACTTTGGGAGGTGGTGGTGAGAGGATTGCCTGAGCCAGGGGTTCAAGACCAGCCTGGGCAACTTGGTGAGCCCTTGTCTCTACAGTAAATCAAAAAAATTACCCAGATGTGATGGCACATGCCTGTAGTACCAGCTACTTGGAAGGCTGAGGCGGAAGGATCGCCTGAGCCCAGTAGGTTGAGGCTGTGGTGGCCATGAAAGTGCTACTGCACTGCAACCTGGGCGACACAGTGAGATTCCGACTCAGAAACCCTCTCCCCCCAAAAAACCATGCTATATAACTTCCAACAAAGCACTAAATTCTTCTTCAAGGTAGAATACACATACAATGCTGAGACATGAGGCTTGTAGGGAGCAGTGAGAGGTAATTATGCTATTTGGAAATCATCCATCAAATAGAAAGCATTATAAAAAGGCCATCAACTGTCAAAAGGCCATCAACTGTAATCGGGAGATGTCTGTGAAGTTATACTTCAGCTTCTGGTATAGACTTTTGTAGCCCTGTATGTGGTGATTAAGTGGAGGATCGAACTAGATGGCTGAAATCCTAGTGCCTATAAGATAATGTGATTATGTGTTTTCTTGTAGTTGAATTCATTTAGTAACTTTTGAAAAAATAATACTGCATATTTAATATGTACTGTGCCAAACGCTTTATGTGCATCTTCTTTATTTAATCCTCAACAATTCCATGGCATGTTTGCTATTACTATCACCATTTTATAAGTGAACAAACTGAAGCTTAGAGAGTTTCAGTTATCTGAGGTTACATAATTTAGCTTATCCAAGGTTACGTAGTTGATACATGGGAGAGCCAGCCTTCATTTTCTTGTAATCCTAATTACTGCTCATCTAATGGCCGATTGCCTGTTCAGTCTCTGACACTGGTAGGGCAATGGTAAGGCATAGTTTCTGTTGACTTAACTGTTATACTTTTATTCCACAGGTATTTAAATGCTTAACAGACCTTGTAAATGAATTGCTGTTAAAAATGATAATTTAAGTTTAAGAAGGTCTTAAATATGCCTTTGCTGTGGTTTGTTTTCTTAATCAATAATCTTTCAGTTGATAAACCAAAATTGGCATTTTATTTTTTAGGTCCTAAACATGCAACTTTCGGATGGAGGACAAGGAGATGTCTCTGTTGATGAAAACAAACTCCACGGTAAACCTGATAAAACCTTGCGCTTTTCCCTCTGCAGTGATAATCTGGAAGGAATATCTGAAGGTGAAGGGTTACTTCATTCAAGGAGTTGTGTGCTTCAAGTATTATTTGGTTTTGTGTTCTTTAAAGGAGCCTTATAAATTATAATTATACCATCTGTGCCTCTCACTGAGGAGAGTAATGAAGATTTCCTCTAATGAGCTTGAACAGTTGGCTGTAAAGATTGTTTCCTGAATAAAATTAAGATTGCAAGAGGCCTCTGGTCATATAAAATGGAGAAGATATAAGTCTTCATTCAGACTTAAATAAAATAATAGCAAGTTTTGTTTCTCTGGTATTAATATGTACCAAAGCTTATAGAGCTCCTTTAGAAGGATATAATGCATGTCTAAATGGAAAAATAGATACTTACTAGTATTTCAGGATGTTGTGTATATTGTGTATACTCTCAATGCCAAGATATTGTGAAGTAAGAAAATGTCATTCTACATATTAGGACACATTTTTTTTTAATGGAAAAGAGTTCAAATTTACTAACACTTAAAAAAAAAAACACAAAAAAACAAGGTGGGTGCAGTGGCTCAAGCCTGTAATCCCAGCACTTTGGGAGATGGAGGCGAGAGAATTGCCTGAGCTCAGGGGTCTGAGACCAGCCTGAGCAACATGGCGAGACCTCGTCTCTACAATAAATAAATAAATAAAAATTAGCCGGGTATGGTGGCACATGCCTGTGGTTCCAGCTACTTGGAAGGCTGAGGTGGAAGGATCACCTGAGCCCAGTAGGTCGAGGCTGTGGTGGCTGTGAGTGTACCACTGCACTCCAACCTGGGCGACAGAGTGAGATTCCAACTCAAAACAACAACAACAACAGAATTTAATAACTTCTTTTTACCTAACTTAAAAAAAAATCACGTAAGTAATGTATGTTCATTCTAAAAACGGAGAAAAGAAATAGAATCATCTCCAGTCTTACCCATTCTGTTAACAGCAGCTAACGTTTTGGTTTATTTATAGCAAAATTAGGTTTATCTACATTGTGACCCTTTTTTGTTTCATAATATAGTGTTAGCACTTCCCTTTGTAATTTAACATTCTTAACTAACATAGTTTTTAATAGCTGTTTTCTTTAGCATCAAATGGACGAATCATAATTTATTTCAACTTTCTTCTATGACTCAACATGTAGATTGCTTCCACTTTTCAGATGTTATAAGAAGCTCTGCAACAAGCAACCTTAAATTAATTTTTTATTAGTTCCTTGGGATAAATTCCTCGAAACAAAATTGCTGGCTCAAAGGGCATGTATATTTTTTAAGTATAAATGCAGTATTAAAAGCACTTCAGACAATTTTTAGTTTCTTAACAGGGCATAGAAAATTGCATGGTGGCTCCTAACTGTTTTAAAAAGATTGCTCACAGGATAAACATTTCTCTAGGTCCTTCAAATCGCTCCAATTCAGTGTCTTCTTTAGACCTGGAAGGAGAGTTGGTATCAGAACTTGGAGCAGGACCTTCTGGGAGTAATGGAGTTGAAGCTCTACAGCTGTTAGAACATGAGCAAGGTAAAGTGAAGTTGAATACAGTTGTTTAAGTAGCAAAGAATTTACCTGATTGCAAGATAAGGTATGTGTTTACATGTAAGTTGGCTGTGTTTAGTAGGAGAATAAATTTAAGTTGATTTAATGATCATTAAACTTGCATTTATTTTTATTTTTATTTTTATTTTTTTTGAGTTGGAGTCTCACTCTGTCACCCAGACTGAAATGCAGTGGCCACTCCCGGCCACCACAGTCTCGACCTGCTGGGCTACGGCAATCCTTCCGCCTCAGCCTTCCAAGTAGCTGGAACTACAGGCGCGCGCTACCACGCCTGCTAATTTTTTGATTTTATTGTAGAGATGAGGTCTCGCCTGCCCAGGCAGGTCTCGAACCCGCGGGCTCAGGCAATCCACTCACCTCAGCCTCCCAAAGGCGTGGGATTACAGGCTGAGCCACCGAGCCCGGCTACTTGCATTTATTAATAGTTCCTTCAGCTCTTTTTTGAGTTGGAGTCTCACTCTGTCACCCAGGCTGGAGTGCAATGGCATGCTCACAGCCACCTCAGCCTTAACCTGCTGGGATTCAGGCGATCCTTCCATGTCAGCCTTCCAAGTAACTAGAACGACAGGTGTGCACCACCATGCCCGGTTAAGTTTTTGATTTATTGTAGAGCTGAGGTCTTACCAAATTGCCCAGTCTGGTCTTGAACCCTTGGACTCAGGCAATCCTCTTGCCTTTGCCTTCCAAAGTGCTGCAATTACAGGCATGAGCCACCACACCTGGCAGTTCCTTCAATTCTTAAAAATGTAGTTTACTTGATAAGTGGATTAATTGTTCTAAATAGAATAATTAATACAAGTTACTTTAAATTCTGTAATATTTGGTATTTCAATTCTGTATTTTAGGGATGTACTGTATTATATATTTTTTTTGTTTTGTTTTGAGTTGCTGTCTCACTCAGTCGCCCAGACTGGAGTGCAGTGGCCGCTCTCGGCCACCGCAGCCTCGACTGCTGGGCTCCGGCGATCCTTCTGCCTCAGCCTTCCGAGTAGCCAGAATTACAGGCATGCGCTACCACGCCCAGCTGATTTTTTGATTTATTGTAGAGATGAGGTCTCGCTGCCCAGGCAGGTCTCGAACCCGCCGGCTCAGGCAATCCACTCACCTCAGCCTCCCAAAGGCGCGGGATTACAGGCTGAGCCACGAGCCTGGTGTACTGTATTATTTTAAGGCTCAAGGAGCTTGGAATAAATAAGAAGAGAATGATATACAGGTGATGAACGGTATCATAAAAGTGCTTTGGCAGTTCTGAGTGAAAGATAAATGTGGTTGAAAGTACAAGGAAAAGCTTATTGGAAGAAAATACTAGCCTTAAAGACTGGCTGGCATTGCCTTGAAAGAAGTTGGAGATGGGTCATTCTAGGTGAAGGACTAGTATAAGCAAGTTAAGAGGTGGAAAGCTGTAGTACTTACCCAGGTGTTAAGTAGGGAAATAGGGCGAAGTAAGGAGTGAAAAGTGAGTGAATCCTTGTTGTGCAGAGAAGGAAGCCTGTATTTAAGTAGCAAGCTGCACTCCATTGAAAGCTTTTGGTTAGATGAGGATGAGGGGGTGAGGTGCTTTAGGAAGATTAATTTGAAAAAATTGTTTTTAATTTGTAAATTAAAGATGATGCCCTCAACCAGGTTTGAGACAGCTACTTGGGAAGCTTTTTTTTTGAGTTGGAGTCTCACTCTGTCGTCTGGGCGACAAAGTGAGACTCCAACTCAAAAAAAAAAAAAAAAAA